TTTTAAAGAAAGATTATCAGCTCTGTGGTTAGGTTCCACAGTTGATAAAATTATGTCAAAAATATAGTATGAGCCCAGCCAGTATGGCTCAGCGGTTGAGCATCAACCTGTGATCCAGGAGATTGAGGTTTCATTCCCAGTTGGGGCGCATGCCCAGGTTGTGGGCTCAGTCCCCAGTAGTAACATCATTGATGTTTCTATCTCTCTGTCTCTCTCTGCCTTCCTCTCTCTGAAATCAATAAAGACATTTAAATATATATATATGGAGAGAGAGAGAGAGAATGATTTGCAAGTAAAATTGTTTTTTAAAGGCTGCAGGAACAGGACAGAAATAGCACTTATTTGTATAAACACAAACACTTAAAGCTAATCTGTAGGTAAACCCAATATAATATGTAAAAGTTCTATAAAATTGAAAAAAGATACGTCTTTACTTCCATTGTTCCAGTAGTAAAATGTTAGATCTGTATGAGAGTTGCACTGCAGCAGTTTGCTGGTCTGATTTAAGAGTTCGAAGTTCTTTTTGTGTATGTGGCCCAATTATGTTCACATCCCAGATAAATTCAGTTTTAAAAAAATGGAAATTAGCCCTGGCTAGTGTGGCTCAGTTGGTTGAGTGGCATCTGGTGCACCAAAAGGTCACCAGTTGGATTCCCAGTCAGGGCATATGCCCAGGTTGCGGGTTTGATCCCTGGTTGGGGTACATAAGGGAGGCAAGTGATCGATGTTTCTCCCTCACATCGATGGTTTTTTTCTTTCTTTTCCTCTCCCTCTCTTTTGCTAAAATCAATAATACATATTTTAAAAAAACAAACAAATGGAAATTAGGGCAAAGACTCCATATAACAAGGCACAAGAATATGCTACAATAAGTTGCTGTCCTTCCATGGCTAATGCAGAAATAAAAAAATTTGGAAGCAGAGAAACTACACCATCCAATAATTCCAGCAGTGAGAATGATTCCTACCATTCCTTGCAAAGAAACTATCACCACAAAGCTGAAAAGTAGGATCATGGGAAGAAGACGAGAC